GAACCCTTGCAATCTGACTTCCAACCTCACCCACTCTACTGAAATTGCTTTCTCAGATGTTGCCAATGATCTCTTAAGTACTGAATCCAATGGCCTTTTCTCAGTCCTCAGCCTACTAGACCTTTCTATGGCTTTTGACACATTAATGACCATCCCTTTCTGCTTCAGTTTTTACAAAACCACTTTCTCCTGTTTTACTTCCTACCTAATTCTTACTTTCTTAGCCAGATTGCCATCCTCTTCCCACGCCAGACTATATGTGTGCTCCATAAGGTGCACATTTTAGGCCATTCTCCTCTTGCCTCATAATATTCTCATCTATATGCAGATGATTCCCAAATTTATATATAACCATGTATAATCTCTCTGCTGAAATCTAGTCCCACATCTCTAGTTGTCTACTGGACATCTACACCTAGATGTCCTGCTGGCATCTCCAATTTAGCATGAATTCATCTTCCCCTTCAAATTTACTCTTCCAAACATCCCTAATGTCTGTTTAGAGCAACACCATAATCCTCCCAGTAAGGTTTTTAACGTCAGTGTTTATTTCTTGCACTTCCTACTCCCTCACCCTCCCTACATCCAATCAGTGGTATCAGTTGCCTAGTCCCATTGATTATTCCCTTACAAAATCTCTTACATCTGCTCCTCCTCTTTACTCACATTTCAGTCATCACCCTTTTTTAGGCTCTCTCCAGTTATTATATTAGCCTCCTTACTGGTTTTTTTCCCTCTAAGCTCTGCCTTTCCCAATCTATCTTTCATACAGCTATAGCAAAATAATCTTCCTAAAGCATTGATTGGTCTGATCATGTAACTCCTTAATACGAACCTCCACAATCTTGCTACAAAGTACCTCACCAGATTTATTTCACAATATTTCCCTTTATATATTGTGTTTTAGCCAAATTGAACTACTAGTTCCCTGAATGACATGCCTCTATGCATTCATATAGGCTTTCCTCCTCCATGGAAGGCACTTCCTCCTCACTTTGTAGAATCCTCAGATTCCTTCAAAGCTCAGCTCAAGTGTCAACTGAGTATCCTAAATGATACCTATTGTCCTCTCCCTAATAGAGTCCTTCTTTCCCAAAAAATTATTTTGCATAAATATTATTTACTTACTTATCTGGGTCCTTGTTATACTCCTGTAATTGAGCTTCATGAGGGCATTTTTATCTGTGTATCTTCAGACCTTCGCATAGTGCTCAGCATGTAGTAGGTGCTTAATAAATACCCACTGAATCTTCCTTTATCAACTCAGGTATAATCTCCTAGGTAAAATTTGTTTGACTCACCCAACAAAGTATTCTATTCTTTTAAATTTTCCTGGAGCTCTCCTTTATCCAAATCCCATATTATACTTACCTGTGTATATACTTCGTTCCCCAGTAGGATATAAGCTTTTTGAGAGGAGGAGCTAAGTCATTTAAAAAAAAAATCTTTTTATTCCTAGCACCTACCAGTTCCTGGCACACAACAGATACTTAAATAAATGTCTGCCATTTCTTCTTCTGATACTAAAGTTTTGGAAGATACTGAAGTCAGAAGAAAAAAGGACTAAACTAAGAGTCAAAAGACCTGAGTCTTAATTCCAACTTTACTGCTTCTATCTAGCTTAACTTGTGTGGGTTTTGGCAAGTTGCTTTATTTCTTTAAGTCTGTTTCCTTGTATGGAACTGAAAGGATGCAACATAGGGCAATGAAGAGCGCTGGCTTTAGAATCTGAAGAATGGAGTCTAACTCATGGATCTCTCTGTGACCTAGGGCAACCTACTAAACCTCTAAATACCTCCCTCTCGGGCAACTCTTTAAGATTATCAAAAGACATAGATCAGTCTGATATTCTGTAGTGGTGTAGGTTTTCCATTATCCCTGAAAAAGTCATCGGAAGACATCTTTTTAGTTAATAGAAATATTACTGTAGTTGCTTTTTGAGAGACTAAGTGGAGTAGGAGTGAGGAGTTCAGAGCAGGCAACTAGGACCTTTATCAAAAATAGCTCCTACGACCATTCCACCATTTAGAGATTCAATTAGGTAAACAACTTTCTCTTTTAAAATGCAAGCACTTCCTTTTAGGGTTAAATCCCATTCACAGTTTCCTATAAATTAGTTTTTTGAAGGAAGTAGGGTTGAGATTAGGCCCTAGAGGAGAAACTCTCAAACTGAAAGGCAGACTTGAGTGGATAAGGAAGCAGGACAAATAGAAGGCACAGAGGCCTGAAGGAGCTTCCGACACACCGATATTCTTCAAACTGTTCTAGGGCCCTGGCAATACTAGCTGCTACTGTGAAAGAATTCATCATGCAATGATGACCCTTTTAATACTTATTTATTTTTTATTTATTTTTTGGCTAGGCAATGAGGTTAGGTCACACAGCTAGTGTCAAGTGTCTGAGACCGAATTTGAACTCAAGTCGTCCTGACTCTATCCACTGAGCCACCTACCTGCCCCTGAGTCTCTCAATATTTAACTAGACTAGTCATTGGATTTCTATAGTAGCACTGAAAATTGGGATATCTGAGTTGACACCAAGGCTAGTTGAAAAAGCTTCTAAACTCAGTTCTCCATAATTCATCCTGGTAAATCTCTAAGCAATCCCAGACCTTCCCGTTTGGGGAAGAAGTAGAGGTTATATGTGCATGGAACCTCATTCGTCCTTAACTTTTTTATTATCAATGTATTATGTTGTTAGTATTCAAGAGGTTTCCCTATTCTTGGAAGTTCTAAAATGAATGAATCAACAGATGACAGCTTAATGTAATGACATCTTTATAATGGTGAGTACCAAAACAGCAAAGTTCTGCAGAATTGTTACAAAGATGCTCAAATGTTTTCCTGCCTTTAACAACTCTTCAATCAGCAAGCCAGTTACTACAAAATTATTTATTAGAACTTTGTATATGACTTTAGAAAAATTATTTTCTTTTATTCTCATTAAGCAAAGGGTATCCTTAAACCCACACATGAATATACTGCAAGGTTTATTTAAGCCTATAGGTTTAAAAGCATCAGCCTGAACAAAATGTACATAAAACTATATTCCTCAGGCAAGGCTGAAATACACTTATTTTTACCCAGATTAACACTTACCTACACAACTTCAATGATTTTGGTCACAGGCATAAAATTGATAGCCTGCTCCCATCCCTACAGACCAATTTATAATATAATGCGGCAAAATACCAAGGGAATAATTGTACCTAAGAAAAACTACTCCTTAGGGGCCATTGTCAAGTCATAAACACAAGCATAAAGGAAGACAAGATGGCAAATCTTCACCAATGAATAACTGAACAACAATTAAATTTTTCAGATGACTTTTGAAAGAGTATAGAATCCGCTTAGATGAGCTCTCTCTGGGCCTCAGTTTCCTCCTCTGTAAAATGAGGTGGTTGGCTTAGATCACAGGTGTCAAACTCTCACCCCTCAGGCCACATGCAGCCTGAACCTGATAAAAACATAATCGGGAAATGTTTAACAAATTAAATTAAAATGCAATAGAACACAGAGAATGTTAATTTGTGGTTTTCTACAGCAATATGCCAAAGGGATATATTTCTATTTGAGTTTGACACACTAGCCCAGTTGACCTCTTTTAGGATCTCCCTCTAAAATTCTCTGTTTTGCAATTCAGACTTTACTTTTAAAATCTATTCTTAAATGTTAAATAAGCTCTTCTCTACCTAGATGCTTCTAGGTACTTCTGGGTGGTTTTCTTGGGTATCCCATAGCCAGTGTGTCATAGATCTCTCCAACTACACCACAGACAAAGAGGGAGATGTAAAAATTGACGCGTCACTTTTGTCCATGGAGAAACTGTATTTACTACTCATCAATTTGTAAATAATTTTTAGTTGTTTGGATAAATATTGTTTCCAGGAAACTTTTTTCCTGGAACCTTATGTGTTAGAAACCTTCAAGTCTCAGCTAAAAGTTCCACCTTCTGCACGAAGTGTTTCCAGATACTCCTTAACCTTAGTGCCTTCCCTTTCAGATTTTCTCCAGTTTATCCTGTGTATATCTTGTTTGTACACAGTTATGTGCATGTTGTCTTACCCATTAGAATGTAAGCCCCTTGAAGGAAGGGACTCATTTTTGTCTTTCTTGAGAGCTTATACAAAGGATACAGTGCCTGGCACACAGTAGGCACTTCATAAATGCTTGCTGACTTGATTTGCTAAGCCTAAAAACTAAAAAAAGATCTAAGTAGTCCCCTACTTCGTGATAGTGGATGTTTTTAAATCCATTTTAGTAGAGTATTCCTTTTTGATTTTGTGAAATAGTGAGGCAACGGGGAAAAAACACATCCTAAAAGGTCTTTCATTGTTTACAAGTAAGAATTAAGCAAAAATTAATTCATAAAATTCGACTGAGCTTTACTGTAAGAGCTATTGGGTAACCGTCTATTAAATTTACAATAAGAACTAGCATAGCGCTTTATGGTTTGCAAAGCGCTGTGCACGTTATCTCATTTGGTATATCAATTCTTAACCGTTAAGGAAAAGAAGTTTCTGGTTTGTTATTGTTAATGGTAAAGGCCCTGCAAACCTCCTCCCCAAAAGCGTCTCGAGCAGGCAAACTAACTTTTGGAAAAATCACTCCTCGTCTCTACCACACGGGTCCTTCCTTGGGCAGGTAACTCTGGTGAAGACAGATAACCCGCAGGGCCGGCGACAGGCAGAGAGGACTCTGGAGGGGAGGACGCGATGGAGATGCTGGAGGCGATTTCAACAGCTTCCCCCACGCAAAATCGGGCAGAGCCCTTCCAGCCCAAATCGCGCCCCGGGAGTCCGTGGGGTTGCAAGCAGGCTGCTAGGAGGGCGGCGGTCATGCCTGGGCTCGGATCGCGCCGGGGCCAGGCGGGCTCTGCAGTTAGGCCCCGGACGGCGCCCCAGAAACGCCTTCCCGCTCCTGCCCCGAGACCCCCACCCATCCCGTCCTCCGCAGTGTTCGTTCCCTCTCCCCCTCACCCCACCTCCCCTAGCCAGTTACCTCGAACTCTCTTTAGCGCAATGGGATCCTTCTCCTGTTCTGCTGACATTACAGACTGCAAAGCATGACTCCCCCCCAGGCAGCGGGAATCGCGTCTCTTTGATGCTGCTGCCGCCGCCTCCTCCTCTCGCTGCCGCCGCCGCCGGGGCTGCCGCTGCCGCTGCTGCTGCTGCTCCCGGTGCCGCCGCCGCCGAGCCCGGCAACGGCCAAGGGCGCGGGGGACGCGGGCCCGACTTTGCAAAGTTTGGCAGGAGGACCGGGCCTAGGGGCGGCCTGGCCCGCGGGGGGTCGGCGGCTTAAGGACGGCGGTGAGGACCGCGGCCTGGGGGCAGCCCCCCGCCTGGGGCCGGCGGCATGTGCGGGGGCCGAGCCCGCTGCCTCTGCCGCTGCCTCCGCGCCGGGAGCCGCAGGAGCCGCTGACAGCGGGTGGCGGGAGGTCCGGGCCCGGGTCGGGTCTCGCACACACACGAACACACGCTCACACTCTCTCACACACACACATACACACTCGCTCACTCACACAGCGCCCTCTGAGGAGAGCCCTGCTCCCCGCTCCCCGGCTGCGCCCAGACACAAAAGCCGCCCGCTCCCGGGCCGGGCGAGGGACGTGGCCCAGCCCCGCGGCTTCCCCTGCCCGAGCTCCTCAGCCCCGCACGGGGATGGGCTGCAGGGGCAGGGGGAGGGGGCCCCGCTCCCTCATCCCCTCGTCGTCGCCGCCCCTCCCCCTCGCCGCCGCCGCCTCTCCCCGCTCTCCACGTTCAGTGTCGTCCCAGCCCCCACCCCGCACAGCGGGCCCTCCCGCCGCCGCCGCTACCGCCGCGGGGCGCGCGCTCCCCCGCCTCTGCCCAAATGCACTGGGGAAGGACGTGTGGATGTGGCTGCCCCGCCACACACATACATATACACACACGCACACACACACGCCCCCAAACGCCCTGCCCCCGCCCTACTCCCCACCCCCGGGTTGGGGGAGATCTAGGCGTTCGGGGTCCGGTGCCCACTCGCCCCGAAGCGGATGCCGCCGCCTCCAGGATGCGGGCCCGCCTCGTGATCGCGACCCACGCTGCCTAGGCGCTCGGTTTCTGCAGCCCCAGCGCCCGCCTTGGTGCCACCTTCTGCCCAACTACCCCGGGAGCCTGCCGCCAGCCAGCCAGGCTGAGCCAGTCACTGGGCACAAGCCACGCGAGTGCTGACACCCCTCGTGCAGAAGTGGTTTGTTTGGGGGGTGGGGTGTTGTGTGTTCTAAAGAACTGGCGGTGGAAAACTTCGGGGGGAGGGGGAAAGAGGTTAGCTCCACTAGCCTAGGGCACAAGGACCTGAAAATGGAATCAGGGTCCAAGGAAACTTCACCAGCAGTCGCCGAAGTGGGTTTTTGTGTTTCTTGTGGTGCATAAGTGACACAAACACCATGGTTGTCACGCTTAACGTGGAGCTCCGTGCCTCGACGGGCAGTTTGGTTTGTGGTTTTCCATGAAGATCTAAGACATTAAGAAACCCAGTTTTATTACACAGGCAGGATGTGAGATTGGGAACTGGTTCGTTTCCTAAGTAAATAGCCTGCTCCCTCCCCAACCCCCCACCCTCATCCCAACCTCTCCACCTCTGTGCTGCATCAGTTTGGACTTCATCTGAGTTCAATGCTCGATTCATACTCCAAACATCCGTCTTGAGTTTTAGCTGTATTCTTAGTTAAGAGGAGGAGTTGTGTGTGCCTCCGTGAGTTGAAGTTATTCCTCTCAGTATAGTCTGCTTTTTGGTAATTATCATCAAAAATCACTTTTCAGCACCTATATTTTTATCTGTGCTATGGGCTGTCTTTAAAGCACTCCTGTTCAAAATCTCTCGTATATATCCAATTAAATCGAAACACCTCCGTGCTGTGGTCCCAACCTACCTTTCCACCCTTGTCTTGCGCTATTCCTTTACACTAACCCTGCTCACTGTTCTCCAAATCTAACCAGTGCCTTCCTCCTCCTTTGCTTAAACAATTCTGCCTACCTGAATGCCTTCTCTCCCTTTAGTCCCCCAAATTATTTTATCCTTAAAGGCACAGCTCAAATGCCACCTTTTCACGACACCTTCTCTGATCCTGTCAACTGGAAGAATCTCTGAGGGTCTCGCTGTACAGCATATGATTAATATGCTGCCTTGTGTAATAAATCGTGTACTTGTTTTATCCTTCCAGGAATGGTGAACTCCTTCAGGGCAAAGGACCATGTCTTCTTTTCTGTATCCTTCTCAATGCCTTATCACACAGTAGGCAATGAATTAATACTGGATGAATATGTGAATTTAATTGGACAGTTCCCAGCTCTTGATAGCCTATTCTGCAGCTGACAGACATTCATTCAGATTAACACAAAAGAATACCAATATAACAGAACTTAAAAACCAAACCAATTTGTAAATAATCAAAATATCTTTTTTTAACCACCAAAAATTGGTACATTTGTGTGGTACAGAGTCATGGAAGTTCTGTTTTTTCAAAAGAAGCAGGCCCAGAGAAAGTTGTCGCTTCTTTAAAAATTTTGGAAAGTCTAGGTGGAAGTGGGATTTCAGGAACATCAAGATTAATTGGAAGTTAAGTAGTCTTAAGAGTCAAATCAAGGAGGATACTTCATATGATGGATGGGAACTGACATTAGAATGAGTGGATAGAAGGGGTTTTGAGGGGAGCAACATAGAAAATAAGGAGAGATGAGAAAAGTAAAGCAGATCCCAAGAAGGTCTTAGAGGTATCCAGTAATGACCTTGAGTTTTTGATAATAGATGGCAAGAGGACTTGAGTTAAAGGCAAGAGTTAAAGTGCAAAATCACAAAATTATGATCGGATGTAACTTCAGAGCCTACCCCACACCAATTTTATATTCAACAACATCCCTAGGAAGGGATCATCCAGGCACCACTTGAAGACTTCCAGTTATAGGCAACTCACTAACTATTGAAGCAGCACATTGTGCTTTAGGACCACTGTAACTGTTAGGAAATTTTCCTTTATAGTCTGTCCAAATTTGCACGTACACCTTTAACACTGCTACTAGTTTACTCAGGTATAAATCTAATAATTATTTTCCACAAGACAGTCCTTTCCACATTTGAAGACAGTTATCAATCCCTAAATGTTCTCTTCAATTAGTCATCTTTTAACATTGTTCTGAGGTCCTGAACCAGCCTTGTAACCCTTCTCTGAATGTATTTTAGGTTATTAAAGCCCCTCTAAAAGTGTGATGCCCAGAAATGGTCACAATATTACAGGTATGTTGTGATTAAGGCAGAGTACAAAACAATCATTTCCCTTGATCTAGACATTATGCTTTTATTAATGCTGTCCAAAATTGTAGTTATGTTGTTTCAGTTGTTTCCAACTCTTCATGACCCCATTTACGGTTTTCTTGTCAGAGATACTGGAGTGGTTTGCCATTTCCTTCTCCAACTCGTTATACAGATGAAGAAACTGAGGCAAACAGGGTTAAGCCACTTGCACTTGTTCTTTTCAGTTCTACAATGATTCCTTAAGGTCCAACTATGTAAAAGGAACTATCCTAAGCATTAGAAAAGAGAAAAATGAAACAGTCATTCCTTGCACTTAATGAGCTTATGTTCTTCTAGGGGGATACAATATGTACACAAATATAGTCAAAGAAAAATTTTAGAGGCAGAAAGCAGTAACCTGGGGAGCAATCAGGGAATGCTTCACAGAGGAGATAATTCTGAGAAGCAAAGATAGGGAGAAAGTGTAATGTAGGCATGGAGAATGGTTTGTGCAAATGCCCAGAGGTGGTAAATGAAGATCTAAGTTTTGAGCATGGCTAGTAGAATAGTTTGTCTACAGTATAGGGTTCATGATGGGTGTTAGCATGCAACAGGGCTGGAAAGATTAGTGGGAGCCAGATTGTGAAGAGCTTTAAATATCATGCCAAATTGTTCTGTAAGAAATAATGAAGGGAATGGTTTCAGAGAAACCTGGGAAGATTTGTATAAACTCATTCAGAGTGAATTGAGCAGAACCAAGAGAACAACTAATACAATAACAACATTGTAAAGACAAACAACTTTGAAAGTCTTAGGAACTCAATCAACACAATTAGTAACTGATAAAATTTGCAATCTACCTCCTGATAGGGAGGTGATAGACTCAGGGTATATGACCAAGACAAATTTTTTGGATATGGCAAATGCAGCAATTCATTCTACTTGAACTATGCATATAGGTTATGAGGGCTTTCTTTTCCTTTCTTTTCCAGTGATAGGGGGGAAGGAGAGAAGGTGAATTTTAGTTAATTAATTTTTTTGAGTGTCATGCCAAGGATTTTATATTTTAAATCCTATGAAAAATAGGGAGACACTGGAGGTTTTGAGAAGAAGAGGGATATAGCTGTATGTCTAGGAAGAAATTTTGGTAGCTGTGTGAAGTACAGATTGTATAGGGAAGAGGCTAAAAGCAGAGAGACCAATTACAAGCCTTTTACCATAGTTCAGTCAATCTGCACTCTGAGTCCATCACCTCTCTGTTAGGTAGTGGTCAACCATATTTCCAGAGCACTAATGATAAAGTATGCTTCCCACACCCTGACAAAAAGGTGATAGATTTAATATGCAGAATAAGACACATTTTGTTTTTACATACCACAGTGGGAATTTTTTTTGCTTAACTGTTCTTATTTGTTACAATTGTTTTTCTTGTAGAGTGGGATAGGAAAGAAAAGAAATGCTTGTTAATTTTTTTAAACATTTATTAAATATTTTCATTGTTCTTATTTCATCTTACATCTGGTGACATAAGTCTTAATACTTCTCTGAATCCTTCATATTTGTTGTTTTTTTTTCCTTATGGCAGAGTTATATTCTGTGTTGTTAATGCACCACAGTTAGCTGATCCTCTAATGATGGGCATCTACTTTGGTTTTTGGTTTTTTTCTACACAAAACAGTGCTATGAATATTTTGGTATTTGTTACCTTTTTTTCTATCTTTGACCTCCATGGGATAGGTGCCTGGCAGTGAAATCTCTAAGTCAAAGGATGTGAACTTATTTTTTTTTGTTTTTCCAAATTGTTTTCCAGAACATTTGGACTGATTCATTGTTCCCATGACAGTGTATTAGTGTGCCTTTCTTTCTGTAGTCCTTCTAGCATTGCTCATCTCCTGTCACCTTTACCAAGCTGCTGAATGTAAAAT